TCACTTAGCTTATAAGGCACTATCATCAGCTTTCAATTGCTCTAGTGAATATTCATTCTTCCAAAAGACACCTAAAAGAACTAAGTTACTAAACAAACACAACGTAAATAAGGGTCCTCCTAACTAAGACGATCACGCCAAAGTATTACAAACGGCCTATTAATAAACCTTTAGAAAGATCATTTAGAAAGATCAAAACATATCTTATTTATCTTGGTCACATATATATAATGTTATTGAAAAAGGGTAAATTAATTATATTAATTATATTTAATATAATATTATTTTTATTGTTATTATATAAGAGGGGGGGAAGCGTTACAATTGGAACGCTCTTCCTTCCGAATATATATATATATATATATATATATATATATATATATATATATATATATATATATATATATATATATATATATATATATATATGATAGTACCTGGATGACCGAGCTCGGTATTTTTTTTTTGGAAACTATATTTAGATACAAATTACATACTGATGAAACACGAATAATATTTTTTGATCTTATTGACATAACAGATAAAAATGACTAGTATTATTTGAATAAAAAATCATGTGCATTTAGTTAAATTTAAATTTTTAAAAAATACTAGAAAAGGGCTCGAAATAATAGATTTTCTCACAAAAGAAGGGAACTTGAAAAAAAAAAAGGAAAAAAAGTCGGACCAGAGACAGGATGCGCACCAGGGCACTCCGATTTCGCGATCGCCCGACATCCCACTGACACAAGCAACCCACTGATATCAAGCTAGTTTATCCAGGAGAATCCTTTAACAGGCACCGTGAAGAGATTAAGGTGATATACACTCGGAGAAACAGACGCCGGCAGAGCATTCCACTCCTTGATTGTGCGCATTATGAAAGATGACTAATCAATATTTGAAATATCAATCAAAAGTGGATGGTAACCTGCAGTATGTGTGGTATTCAGATAGGAGAATGGAGACGGCGCTATGAGCTTATGAAACTCATGGGCGCACTCTCCGAAGCGCAATCTGTAGAAGACTGACAAACAAGCCACTTGGCGGCGGTGAGCTAAGCTGTGAAGTATCGCTTCACCTTGTTTAGACTACCCACTTTTTTAGCCGCAGTCTGTAATCAATGTTGGCGCCAAAGCTGAGGTTAGTACTCAACTTGATTGATTGATGAGATGATCGGTAAACTCTATAGATATGCCTCGGAAAGTTAGAGTCAGATTAAACGAAATCTGTTTTGCGGAGAACAGACGGGCCCGCGTTTTGGTGGCGTTGAAAGTGACCAGATTTTCGTCATCCCATTGGGAGATGAGACCTAAGGTAGCATTTATCCGCTCCATCATAGTCTCTCTGACTGAACGTATTACTGCCCCTTCGACTTTTGTACTTAAAATGAATCTCTCTGTGATGGTGCTGTCATCTGCATACCCAACAATGCCTGGTAGAAGTAGGGCATTGATGTGCAGCAGGAAAAGAGTTGTACGTATGCTACGCGATATATTCTATAAAAACTTGAAACGGTAATAGGACTCACATGCCTGCCTAGGAGTCAGTCGGGGTAGGAACCACTTTCTTAACTACCAATTTCTGTCATCAACACCAGCCTGCACTGTTTTGTTACTTATCTGAAAGTTGTGAAGATAAAGTAAAAACCACAGGCTGTTAAGCATTTCATCTTAGCCTTTATAGGTGACAACACATTTGTACCCTTCGTTGTCAACTCCAGTAGCCACTTACAGGGTGAACAGTAAGCTATTTTTTATAATTTAGTTTCATTTCATTTTGATAAATAGAATTTTGTGATTACATAATTTATCAAAAAGTGCTTGGTACGTGGTAAAGCCACGCTGCAGATATATTAGTTGTAACACGAATGGGTCGGCTCGACCACGGACCACGCTCTCAATGAATACCAGCATCAAATAGCAGCTTAAGGTTGCTATGTTTCGTTTGGTGAGTGTAGAGAACCGGAGCCCCTTTTTACTGGATACAAGGCATTCCATATTAGTACATAGGGGTGACAACGCGTTCGCATTTTGATTCTCAATCAAGCATACACCAACAAACAAGTGGACTGTGTGCTCGTTTGTAACTATTATTCTAATTAAAAAAAAAGTATTTAAGTTCCGACTTTTTTAACTTTACATTTCAATTCAATTTCAATCATTTCAAGCTTTTATTAACTTTTCATTCTTGTTAGTTTTTGAAGTTGATATTTACCTTTCTTTTTAAAGCTTAAATAAAATATTTTATTTTGTCCTATAATCAAAAATTTCGACACAAAAAAAATCCAATTCACATAAGTGCATTTATCGGGTTACAATGTTCATATGCTCCCGTTTATTCTTCCCATTTATTTCCCTAAGGTATTGATCGAAGGCTGCAAAGTCAACTTCTTGTTACGAATTGTGTAAAATGGTTTCCGAATATAACGTGTGTAACATACAGTTACGTATATCGTATTCTTAAATAATTTTAACTAGATATAAAATGTATTTCTTATTTACATGTATATACACTCATGGACAAATTGGAGGAACGCAAAAAGTTCGTACCAAAGATTGACCCAGATATGCAGACAGACAGATAAACATTTTATAAATGGTTATTTATATCTTAATAGCGTAGAAGTAACCCAATCAGCTCAATAAAAGGTAGTTACTTATAGGTATATATATATACATATATATATATATATATATATATATATATATATATATATATATATATATATATATAGCATAATAAATGCACATATTTACTCCACATAGACAAATTCATGGTGCATATTTAATTCTATAACCTCGCTGAGCTCTTCTTATTTGTCTATACGGGCTAATCTTCGGAAATACTGAACTGTTTTTCATGAAGATTCACGAACCGATAAAGAGCAATACACCAGGGGTGTTTAGGGATAAATTTTACCAGAAAACTTTAGTTTAAAAAAATACTATCGATAAAATAAAAAGACCTTTTACAAAGACTGTCTTAAACCGGGGCAGGTCACTAGTAATAAATAAAGATAGAACGCATATTATAGTATACATAACAAGTAAATACCAGTGCCAAGCAAAAAACTCCATTAGCCCACGAATGATTTATCCACCTTTGATAGAAACAGTGTCACCGTCCAGGGCTAAAATGAATTACTCTGTCGCCAGTAATGAGCCTTCCTGTGCTACTTTCGTATAACGAATTACGAAAAATTTTATCAAGTCATCCATTACAATCATAGTATGAGGTAGAATTAGATTCCTCTGACCAGAGAGGGAATGTAAATAACTTTTTTTTTCTCTTTTTTCTTTAATAACACCCTGTGAGCATATTTAAATACGAGTTAAAACGAGCATACCGTCCACCTAATGGTAAGTGGATGCTATGGCTCATAAACTAATATTCTCAATTAAAATCAATATTTAGATCCGTTGTCACCTATGAAGACTTAGATGTTATGCCTCCTCTATAAGAAGCACCTCCCGTTCTCTATATTTACCATACGAAACACGACAGCATTAATTTGCTGTTTCACACTGGTATTCAAACAATTAATACGATTTAATAATCGCCACTTATTGCAATTTGAAGAGCTCACTCCCATAATATAGGTATTATATGAAAGGTTTGCTGGGAAAAATACGAAAAATAAAATGACGTCACTCTTAGTCCAATACGGAAACTCACAAAGTTGGCGGACTATGTTTTTTATTCATGCCCATGGTACGGATATTAAATGAACATAATATGTATTCTTACGAAGATAATAAGATAGAAGATAATATGATGATTGCATTATTTGTTGAAAATAATGCAAATAAAATGGCAACCACGTTCAGCTCTTCGAGGATATGGAGTATTTTGCACGGCTAAACGGTAAGATTAAACGAGGTCGTGTATTTACTAATATCGACTTAGACCCTAGTCAAATTCTAGCGGTGGTGAAGAAATCTGAATGATGGAAAACAAGATGGCCGCCTAAACAATTTTAAATAATTATAACTCGGCATAATATTAAAATAGTGTAATAAGCCTTCAACTTTTTAATAGTGTAATATCGTTAAAAGCACCCTAGTTTTACTGTTAGTACATAAACATGTCTCGTAAATCTCGCAACGACCTGTTATAATGTTAATGGCCACGTAACAAACCTAAAATGGAGCAGTTATGGTTTTTTATAAAAAAAAATTGCAGGTTTCCCCAACTTCATGATAAAACCTTTTTTATAATGGATATTTTTATCTATTTTATTAACTTGTAATTTTAAGAAGGGCTATTTATGAATGACACTGCATCTTCAGTATGAGATATGTGGGTAAAATACGACAAAACCGATCGTTTGTGTTTTGAACAAAAAAATGCTTGGAACACAGGACATGCGAATAGCCAGATAATAATGATCTGTAACCTAGTAACCAAATATAATGCACTGTGAGAATGAAAGTGACCGATCTCAAAATTTCGGCGAATTGAGTTAAACACTTGAAACTACTCCTAATAAAATGTTGTTAGTGAATCAATAAGTGACCATTTGTACAGAAAACATTGCGTCTCTGCTGTTTAGCCCTCCTCCCGCAACGACAGTGACCGATTCAGTGTTTCGTCTACAGTGTTTTTGGTTGGTTGTTATTTGGTTAATTTTAAAGTGACCTAAACCTCAGTGCGCCAATACTCTACGCAGACGTAAGTACACATTTTGTTAAAATTCTAATCGTATAGTGACCAATATTTGTATTAGGTCATTTTTGTACTATAAACAAAGCTATGTGTGGTGACTCAAGTCTAGTTCGGTCATTTTATTACAAAAAACTATGCTAAATGCAATGAATTATTTTTAAATAATTCTTTTTTCTATTAAATATTTTATCCATGTAATGTACTATTTGTAGCAACGTCACTTTATGAATAATTTATTGAAATAATGCTGAGCCTTAATAAGTGTTATGCCACTTTATCGTACGTAATATGTGTGTATATTTCTGCTTAGGTCGTTTTATGAAAACGAGAAGATGAAACGAAGAGTTGATTACATTTTTCAAATGCTACCATCGGACCGAAGAAACGAGGTACGAGTTATAGTAATTTTAGGTTATAATTAGTAGTTCAGTTCTTGTTATTCATTTTATGGATTTTTGAAAATACCAGTGTAATTTTTTGTATGTACGAACCATTCATAACTTATTTATTTACAGCATAATGAAAAAGAAAACGATGGATTTATAGCAAATTCGCAGCAAAACAAGTATCATGAATTACAAATTACTCAAACTAATCAGCTAACTGACGTTGAGATGAAGGTATTATTGAAACATTAAATACTTAAAAATAGTGCAATAAAATCTCCACGAGTCTATAGTCTTGATTAAAAAACCGTTTTTTTTCTTTCTAGAATCTTCAATCAGATGAAAGTTTATCTTTTATTGAAAACACACCGGAAAAAGAAACAAAGAATACACGAACACTTAATAACAACCCAATAGAGGTTAGTTTATGAAACTATTGTAAACTCGATTTTTATTTTAAGCTATTATTATTATATAACTTTCGTAATTTATATTTTTTGTAACTTCTAGTTGCCGAAGATGGGTTACAATGAGATGAATGCTGATCAAGCTTCTAATAGTCCAAAACTTCTTAACTGCTCTGAAAATTTGACTGAGGTAGTATATAGGATCATTTAATGTTAATCTAATCGGTATTTAAGCGCGAGAAACAAATAATAAGTCGAATTTTGTCCTGTAGGTCACAGTTACACAACCTGCTATAACAAATATTGGAGAAGAACCATCAACATCATTTCCACGAAAACATGAAGCTTCCAGAAAATCGAGCACCTCTTCATCCACTTCATCGAGTTATATTTCCACTTCGTCGAGCTCTACTTCACCGTATTCAACGTCAAAGATACAGCACAAAAATAATAGTTTTTCAGTTTCACGTGTTCGAAGTAATCCAAATTATCAAATATCGCCAGTAAATACTGATGAAAGCGACGTTGACTTAAGTGACTCTGATCCAACTTATTTGAATAATATCGGGCAAAAATATATTTCTCCATCAAGTAGCTCTTCGTCATCACGGCGTGCACCATCTCCGTCATCTTCATATCCTAAATCTGATCTGAATACGGGCAATAATATTTCGACCGAAAATAATCCCGCAAGATCTAGGAAACGTTTGAGAAACCCATCTGATTGGAAACAAAACAAAACCAAATCCATCAGAAATAGTGGGAAACCGTATGTTTCCCTGTCAAAATCTAAAAAACTTATTCCCGCTCGTCAGATTAAGGAGGTGTGTAATTGTATGTTGAAATGTTTTGATAAGATACAGGATACAGATAGAATCAATTTGTTTAATCATTACTGGCGGATGAATAATATTGAATTGCAACGTGCATATATTCAATCGTGTACGCTTGAAGTTAAACCCAAGTACAAATATTTTAATGCTCAAAAGACTAGACAACCTAATAACGCCTTTTACTTTACGGTAAATAAAAATAAAATACGAGTGTGTAAGACCTTTTTCATCAATACCTTAGACGTGACAGATAGACAACTAAGAACAGAAGAGAACAGAACAGAAGAAGAAAACAAATAATCAGGATTTTGTAGATTCAGACATGCGGGGAAAACATACAAACAGAAAAATTATAACCTTTGGAGGAACTTTAATTTACTTCAAAAGGAAAAAAATAAACTGGCATGTGAATACTGGTTACATCTTAACACATTTAATAAAGATTTTAACATTGAATTTCATCAACCAAAGAAAGATAGGTGTGAAACTTGTGTAGCTTATGACCTTGTCCCTGCAGATATAAAAATTGAACTATGAACTAACTACGATAGGCATTTTATTGAAAAAAATAAGTGTCGTGAAGAAAAACAGAGAGATCGCGAGAATATAGACCAAACACATATTTGTGCTGTGTACGATTTACAGTCTGTAATGCTCTGTCCAAATCCATCCTATTTTTACTATTGCTCCAAAATTAACTGTCTAAACTTCACAATAACCAAACTAAATAATAAAAGTAATAAAGATAATTTTTCTGCTTACGGTGATGTTACGTGCTATTTTTGGGATGAAACTCAGGCTCATAGAGGAGTTAACGAGATAGGTTCTTGTGTTTTTGATTACCTAAAACAATTGAATCTTCAACACCCAAATAAAAAGTTGCAAATCACTTTTTACTCTGATATCTGTACAGGGCAACACAAAAATAAATCTATGGCAGCGTTGTATTCTTTTGCAGTTACTCATTTAGAAAATATAGAGAGCATAACGCACAAATATTTGATAAAGGGCCATACCCACAATGAAGCCGACAACGTGCACAGTTTAATCGAAAAAGAGATAAACAAAAATGAAAGATCAGGTCCCATTTATGTACTCTGTCAATACGCAACTCTTATAAAAAGTGCTCGAAAAACTGGTAAACCTTTCATTGTCAAGGAACTCGATTACACTTTTTTTCATGATATTAAAGCTTTGCAAGACCAGTGGGGATACAATTTTAATGAAGACACTGACAAAGTTACAGTAGTATGGAATGACATTAAAATGCTAAGTTTTAGGAAAGGAAACGAGTTTCAAATGCACTTTAAAACTTCTTATTTAGAGACAGATTATAGAATAATTGATATGCGTAACAAAAGGAAGAAGATTAAAAGCTACGACGAAATAAGATTAGATAAGTTATTTATGCAAGCGCTCAAATTAAAAGAACATAAGAAAAAAGATCTGAAAGACTTGGTGCGAAAAAATTTATTCCAATGTATTATACAAATTATTACAATAATCTGTAATATTTCATAGAGCAAAACAATATTGATTCTTCTTTAATAGCTAATGTTGGAACTTATTCGATGATTATATTCACCCTTTGTGATTTTTAAATACTTAGGATTAAATGATAGAGACTTTCAGTAATCTACCGCATTTTTTGAGCGCAAGATAAGTACTCTGCAAAACAGTGGATTACTGAAAGGCGTTGAGGACTGATACGGATATGTACCTAACAACTAGTAAAGTATTACTTAAGTTAAAATATTAGGATTATTTAGGACAGAATAGAAAGAATAATGTTATTAACATTTCATTCTTAATTCAAAGTGATTGAATATGTTCAAATAAATATCAAATATTATGTTTAATTATAGAAATATAAGAAGGTTTTGAAAGTTAAGTTTTGTATGTCAATTTTTCTTGTCTATTTTTATTAATTGATGTCAAGTTTTACCTATATTTCAGTAATAAATGTCATTTCATTCTTAACATTTTTTGTCTTATTGGCCAATTTTTCATCAATGTTACAGAACCAAATGGACTTAATTTTATTTAAGTTGTAAAAAGTCCTTTATTAAGCTGCCCTATATCTGAATAAGTCAAGTCAAATTTAAAAAAATATATTACAAAAATGACACATTTTCGGAAGGTTTTTTTAAAGAGTGCTTAAACATTAATAAACACCTTTTTTACTTTTTTGGGTAATACTAATTGAAAATAGTCAAAAAATACACTGGCAGCATAAAAATGTAAATAACTTTCCATTTGAAAAAGTTATGACATATTTTATTGGAAACTCCGTATAATACGAACACGTTTTTTTGATTTCCCACAAAATGCAAATTTTTAGTTAGGTCCCTTTTATTCTCACTGTACGATAAATAGCTACACATTTCCTGAAAAACTAACACCATTCTGTAACCTTTAGAAAAAGTTTTGACATTGATGTTTTCGTATCGTCATCGACTATCATTGTATGGAAATTAGAACTACGCACCTACTTTTTATTACCTATAACGTTTTCATTAACTTGCTTTCATATGTGACTGTTCTACAGCATAAGACTGGCATATAGTTAACATTTTCTTTAAGGCTGCACTTGATGGATTTATCAACACCATATCATCTGCATAACTTATATTATTAACACAAATTCCATCTATGTGGCAATAATTATTCATGTATAAGTTAAAGAGCATGGGAGAGCTTAGACCGCCTTGCCCCACACCGCATTCCAATCTGTATTCTTCTGAGAGCGAGCCAGCCCATCTGATATTATTCTTTTGATTGCTTTACCAGTGCTGAAAGAGCAATATAAATTCATCGGGCAGACTAGTCTCAGATCTGATCTTATACCACAGGCGTTAGTAAGCTACTTAGTCAAACGCCTTTGATAGGTCCAGATAACAAACAAACACAGGTGTCTTCCCTGCTGTGTAATAATGGACAGTCTGCTTGAGACACATGATAGCACTGTCGGTGGAAAAACCTGGTCTAAAACCGAATTGAGCATCATTAAACGAGATGTGCTTATCCAGGAACCCGTTAAGCAAACGATCCAGTACCTTAGCAATCAAAGAAGCAAGAGAGATGGGCCTATAGTTTACACGTCAGAGGTGTCACCGGTCCTGTTTTTTTTTTTTTTTGGAATAGAAATAACATTAGTTCGCATTAATTTGTCAGGGAGATATGAATGCCCAATACACAAACTAAACAACAAAGACAAAACCCTTGGCAAATGATCTCTAGCATGCTGCAGGTTTTTGATGCTGAGGTGGTCATGCCGAGGCAACTTGCCCCTCACCATGCACTTAATGACTTTAGCTACATCTTTGGCGGTAAAAAATACACCACGCTTCGGACTATCTGCCTCAGCATCAGACACCGGCGGCTCTGCCGGTCCCAGTGGTGATTCCACTCTAAATAAATCCGTAGTTTTGACAATATTTTAAATATCGGCCAGAGTATATACCGAGCTGCATCTATTTTTTGACATACATCATTGCGCGTGAACCTCACTCTATTCGTTTTCTTAGCTTCCATTTTGAATCAGTTCCCGTCGATGATAACTACTCATGACATCGGTATAACGCGTGATAGTGTATTTAATAAAAATACATACTCCTATATCATAATATGCATACACATTCAAAAATAAATTAACAAATAAACTTACAATATTCATTTGTCAATACGTGAGTAACGTCTACATTTCTTACTTCAAGTTTTTCGCATATATGGAACAAAAGTTTTCACTTAGTGACAATAATTTCGAAAAACTTAGAACAAAAGGAATAAAATGTAAACTTCTTTAGGATGTTTAATTCGATTTTAACGAGCCACTTAGGTGCAGTTCCGGCCACAAAATCTCTTTTTATTGTATCAAGCTCCACAAAATGTTTTTCATGTTTTTTTTTCAGTTTCTGAACGTAATATGGAATTTAAATTCTCTTTTTTACTCACTATAAAGCACCTATAGTGAAATTAAAAATTATTAACATTATTTCTAACTTTGATAACCTGTTTAAATGTGAGGCGGTATCTGAAGTAAATAAACAAGAACATTTTAAATGAAGGGAAGGAGGCAGCGAGATAAGTATGACAAGAGGCGGACTTAATGCTTAAAGATTCTTCATTAGGGCGACTTTTGCCTATAGATATATATGGAGCCGTGTTAGCTCAGATGGTTAACACTCGTTGTAAATATAACAGAACGCGAGTAACTCGGGTTCGATCCCCGCCGGCACCAATGAAATTATTAATTGCAATTTTAAGTGCTGATTTACCACGTGCTCAGTGGTGTAGGAATACATCGTGAGGAAACCTATATATCTGAGGAGAAAAGAAATAATATTTCAAAGGCTATTTCTGCCGCCAAAAGGTTGTG